TCTATCGAGTTGAAACGGATCCTTTTCATCGGAAACGTAAGCTAAGGAAACAGACAAAAGTCGCAGGGAGCTAAATCTGGACTTTAGGAGGATGCGGTATGTAGGATGCTGTGTTTCGCTAAAACTGTGGCCGGAGCATTATCATGATGAAACATCCAGTCACCGCTTGCCCGCAATTATTCAGGACGTATTCACCTGATAGAGCGGCCCACAAACGTTGTAAAGTTTCCCTGGTCAGTTTCTTCTATAATCGTTGTACCGCGAGGAATATATTCATGATGTCCAGGGTGCAATCCATTTTGAGGACTGTGTTTTTGTCTCAGGGTCGTATCCGTAGACTCATTTGAAGTAAAATTTAATGAATCTTCACCCTCGGTCATTTTACGAAAAAATAGAAGGAAACGCGAGCATGGCACTTGACACGCATATTTCGATCAGTTACCTATTTTTCTAATGTCCGCTCGCGAAAGCTTTCGAAGTTCTGTTGTGTAATTGTAATATAGAGGAGGATAAAGTCCAGGCCATTATCTGCATTAAAATCTGAAATGATAAAAAATTATCGATATTTTCCGGAGAGACCTCGTACAGTTCCTAATCTCTTTTCAGTATCGTTTTGAGATGAATCTAGTAAAGTTTCATGAAGGCACTTAGAAATTTTACTAGTTGTTGTTTTACTAGTTGTTTTGCTAGCTGTTCATCACTGTTTTTCCTCTGGTTCAATTTTTTCATCTTAAAGGATCAAACTGAACAACAAATTTAACTCTTTTTTGAGGCTGCTACAAATTTTTATTCAAGAGATTGATAATACCTATGTGCTGTTTTGGGGGTAAGAATCGCCTGTAAAATATGCTGATTTTTTTTTTCTTTTTTTTTAAATTTTTAACCCCTGCCACCTCACCCTCTGCCTATCAAAATCACAGGAATATTTACAAATCATCCAAGAGAGAATGGAAACAGCTTGATGCATGGGTAAACTCAAAGCTCCATTGGACGATGAAGAGTTTTTTCTGTAGTTACGCCATTCAAAGAGAAGACAAAATAGCTGATTCTTAGCAAGAATTTTATTGTTCTCAATGAAAATCATCCAGGAGAAATGTTCACGCAGTATGTAGCCATCACTGTTTAATTAGATATTGCACCACCACTTACTTGAGAGAAACACTCACACCAAGATTGAATAGTTCATTTTTAGAGATAGATAAATTTTTATTAGTATCACTGTCACAGCACTGAAGAAGAAAGGGAAAAAATGAACACCTGGAGATTCACTTAGTAGGGCGAACAAATACAGCATGTGAACTACACTAATGTGAGAGTGAGTTACGAATTTGATTCTGTGAATTATGTGAAAAATTGATGCTGAGAAATTGCCGTTAACCCCCTGTCAAGGGCTTTTCAGATAGTTAAAAAATTGCAATCAAGACAGGAGGCAGACGGACCGTGAGAAGTAGAAAGTGCACGTTCTTAGATTCAGATGGGCCTGGGTATTGAGACCATTTGTCGCAGATATTGGCGCTCTCAGTCTGGAAAAGATAGAAAGGAGAGAAAGGCATCAAAATCAATCTATGATACACTTGGAAAGGAACATGAACATTTCATCATCGTGCCAATGCACTTACACTGCTATGAAGAGGGTAGGAGAAGTGAATTTCTTGACGTTGGAGAGACAGGAAAAAAGAATGAAGTAAGGCGTATCGATCAGCGCATGATAAGTTCTATGTACCAATAGTTCTAAGCACCAGGCAGTTTTAACGAATGCTTATGTCTTAGTTTTACTCCTCTGTTCTTAGCAAGACGTCTCGTTCAGATTCTGAACGCCTGTTGAAGACATTTCACGAAAGTTTTACACGAAATTGCCAAATAATTGTTGTAAATCATTGATCCCTGACTACACTTTCTCCTCACGGAGCTAATCGTCAAGCCACACGACAGGTAATTGTCTAGAGTTCTCTTCTACTATTCTGCTATAGGCGTGATTTCTTTTGGCTGTATCAGTTCCCTCTCAAACCTGGTATCTCTCGTCGAATAAATGTGGCCGTTAATATGTATGATTTATCTTAGCATTGACATTTCAATCACCTGATTTTGAACAGGATTTTCACTAAGCAACTAAGCATAGATAGACTCATTTACATTTGGCCAAATGTTCAGTCTGGTCTATAACATACTTTCTAACCTCACAATCAGTTGAATTCAGTTTCACATTGTATTTAATTACTTCAAACATGTACTTATTGCATTATATTCTAAATTCAAGCTGTACGAAAGTTAAGCTTTTCACAGCAGGTGCAAGCCATCATAAGTATCTTTGCTGTGCACTGTATTTATCACATCTCGAAAAACCAAGTCACTATTCCTGCCGCAACTGGCAGTGGTACGCAAATTGGTCAACAAGAGTTGGATTTAGTTCATTAATATTGTGTTTAAGGTGGGTCTGGTTCTAGGATCTAATCGTTACCACTAAAATTCACAAACCCAGCGATAGGAGACATTTGGTCTTCACCTATTATTGTCTGCTAAAATTAATTGCATTTTTACTCTAAACAGAATTTGCGTCTCGTTAGGAACGGTGTAACCGTCTTTAAGCCTTAAGCATCATTATTATGTGCTGATCAATAGGTGTATTTCAATTATTTTGCTGCCTTCTTAATATTCTAATGTGTAGAAATTCACTTCTCATGCCAGCTTTATAGCAGTGTCAATGCGAGGGCACGATAAAAAAATATATTCATGTTCCTTTACCACAGTACTTATCAATGATTGATTTTGATGCCTTGTTTCCTTTCTTCATATTTTTCCAGACAGAGGGTTGATATCTGCAGTAACTGGTCTTACCACCTGACCACATATCTGAATTTGAAGTATGTTGTCTTCGGCTCACAGTCCGTCTGTCTCCTGCATCGTGGCAATTTTTCAATTATTTGAAAGAGCCCGGGACAGGGGGTTAACGGCGATTTCTCAGCATCAATTATCCACATAAAATCAAATCATTTTTATAATTGAATCTCACATTGGTTTAGTCAACATCAAGTATGTGGACTCCTCTATGTAAACCTTCTAAGTATTCAATTCTTCTTTTTTATGAAAGTGCTGTGATAGTGATATTTTTGTCGTCACTTCATTCTTAAAATGAACTATTCAATCTCTGTGTGAACATTTCTCAAAAGAAGTGGTGGTGCGATTTGTAATGAAACAATGGTGCTGTGGTGCATGAACCTCTCTCCTTGGAACATGGATATGTTGAAGAATTCTGAATTTTCGCCAAAGACAAGTTATTTCATCATCTCACCTGAGGAGTAATTCAAACCGGTATGTGAGTTATTATTTATGAATTTTCTGTGTTAGAACCTTGTCAGAAGGATCTTATAGCCAGCCATAAGGATTTATATGACCAGCCGTATGAATTCATATGGCCAGCCGTATGAATTCACATGGCCAGCCGTATGAATTCATATGGCCGGCTATATCAAATCATACAGGGTGTTCGAAAAGTCCCCTCCCCCCCTCTAACTTTTGACCTAATTGAGGTAGAGATTTGAAACTTGGAGGGTGTTCCTAGATCACAGGGAGCTACTTTTTGACCCCCCTCCAAAATTTTTGGGGGCCCCCCCTTGGGGGGGGGGGGGTTACGGAACCTAACTTTTTTTTTTCAAATGGGAAGACCCCCTTTGTGGTACCTCGTTCGAAAGAGCATAAAAAAAGAAAATTTTTCGCTCAAACCCGAAGTTATTATCTCAAACCGTTTCAAAATGGCCGAAAATTGGCACCTCTTCTATTTGTACATGGATTTGCTTGAAACTCGGTATCAGGGGGTATTTTGGCACGAGAAAAACGAATTTGACGTTAGATTTTAAAAAAACCCCTAATTTTTCAAAATGGCCGCCGGTTTAGGCTCAAAGTGGCCAAAAATTTGACAAACTCGATTTCTTGCCAATGGATTCACCTGAAATTCGGTATCTGCGGGTATTTTGACCCGAGAAGAACGAATTCGACGTTAGATTTTTAATCAAACCCTAATTTTTCAAAATGGCCGCCGATTAAAGTTCAAAACGGTCAACAATTGGCAACCTCGACTTTTTGCCGATGGATTCGCTTGAAACTCAGCTTATCGTTTTCCTCCTACCCAGACACCCCCAAACACCGAGTTTCAGGCGAATCCATCGGCAAAAAGTCGAGGTTGCCAATTGTTGACCGTTTTGAACTTTAATCGGCGGCCATTTTGAAAAATTAGGGTTTGTTTAAAAATCTAACGTCGAATTCGTTCTTCTCGGGTCAAAATAACCCCAGATACCGAATTTCAGGTGAATCCATTGGCAAGAAATCGAGTTTGTCAAATTTTCGGCCACTTTGAGCCTAAACCGGCGGTCATTTTGAAAAATTAGGGTTTTTTTTAAAATCTAACGTCAAATTCGTTTTTCTCGTGCCAAAATACCCCCTAATACCGAGTTTCAAGCAAATCCATGTGCAAATAGCAGAGGTGCCAATTTTCGGCCATTTTGAACTTTGACCGGCCGCCATTTTGAAACGGTTTGAGATAATAACTTCGGGTTTGCGCGAAAAATTTTCTTTTTTTATGCTCTTTCGAACGAGGTACCACAAAGGGGGTCTTCCCATTTGAAAAAAAAAGTTAGGGTCCGTAACCCCCCCAAGGGGGGGCCCCCTAAAATTTTGGGGGGGTCAAAAAGTAGCTCCCTTTGATCTAGGAACACCCTCCAAGTTTCAAGTCTCTACCTCAATTAGGTCAAAAGTTAGAGGGGGGGGAGGGGACTTTTCGAACACCCTGTATGGCTAGCAGTAAGCGAAAGTACCGTGAAAATCTTAAAGCCATACAGCCCATTTTTACCAGGGGCACTTTCACCATCGATTTGCAGTGAGCGGGAGGGGGGGGCAATGAGTATGGAGGGAAAGTTACATTCCATTGCAAATATATTTTGTTTTTCGCATGCACTGTTCTTACTACCTATTTACTTCTTTTTGAAATAGTGGCCACTGCTACTTACTTATTATATAATATTATATCAGGTCGCCAAACTTTATGATAAGGTATCCGTAGGACTGTGATTTCATCGAAATCACTGATGTTCCACAGCAAGTGATGGTCCGTCCAAACTTGTGTTATCCAGCAATTCGTCGTCAGGATTTGATTTTTTTCGTCCTGAAATTATACAAACCCGTCGGTTAACTCGTACAAAATCGGTATGATCAAGCGCATAAGGTCTGGATACACCTTCAAATTCCGAACCAATTCTGATCAAAGTAGACCAAAGAATGACTGATGGTCACCATGCAACAATCGTCTCTGATTAAAATTGGACGGATCGACAAAGTTTGCTCAGAATATTCCGCCCAGCAAAGCAACGTTGCACCAACATTGTGACAACATTACTAACTGTCCGGAAAGGGTATCCCGGGATAAGCATGTCAAAATGCCCTTGTGAATGGATTTTTATTTTAACCATTTAAAGTCATCAAGGGTGTTTTACGGCATTTGCGTGTAATCGCGATTCACCACGAAATACCAGATGTCAGCTCATAATTAAGATAATTGGATGAAATTGTAGTGCGTTTTTATCATATGTTCACGCTGGAACTAAATTTTCATGGCAAAAGGTGAATTTTTCAGCGAGAAAAAAATTTCCGTCCGGGTACTAGCGCTCATTAAGGAGGGGTGATGAGTGCCTATTGTTCCTACAGTAACAATGGACGGCTCGGGTTTCGTGAAATAGACTATAACTACGCCCGACGTTGCTGACCCTGCTAAAAATGAACATGTTGGTAACAAGTTGGTCTGGCCCAACATGGTAGGAACATGGTGAATGGAACCTGTTATCATAAATGATATCAACATGTTACCAATATGATATCACAATGATATCAGTATGTTCCCATGATGGGACCAACATGGGTCACATCCAAACTAGATGTTATCAATATGATTGCCATATTGGTCCCATCATGATGTGAAACTGAGATAATGCTGATATCGAATATTGTATAAATATTGCACCTAGAGTGCGCGCACTCTAGGTGATGAATTTGGTACTAACGCTTTCTCGAATGTACATATGTTATTACCAAGTGGTGGATCGTAGCGTTGAGACTTGCCTTAAAATCCGCGCCGTCCTAATCGGGATTTTAGAACCCACGCCTAGAGATGGAGTTGCAATCCGAGGTCCAGTACTTTACCACCAGACGAGCCAGGCTTGACATAGAGGGGCCCCTAAATTCAATCTCTTAACTATCGCAGGCCTCTGAGTTCGTAGTATGTTTGTTTATTGACGAATTCTCATAATATAGTACCAGAATTTATTACCTATTAATTGTTTATTTATTATTTATTATTTTTTATTTCATCATGTAATTTGTGTTTCAAATTCTTTATTAATGGTACTGATTATGTAGCATCATGTCCAAGATATTGGACTCCATGCTCACCCTTAATATACTTGCCTGCTCATCTCGTCCAAGATCTTGGACTCCATGCTCATCGCTTAACTTCTTACTTCTCTGCTGGAGCACGGAGTCCAAAAGCAAGTAGACCTCCCTTAGTTTTAAAGTTCATCATGATAGAAAGTCGTATACTTCGCCTATCCAATCTAACTTGAACTAACTTAACCTAACCTAACCTAACCTGACCTGACCTAACAACCTATCCTAAGCAATGTACAGTTTTTTTCGAGAACACAATTTTTCAAATAGGACACACATCTTTTCTCATTTTTTCACATTTTTTCTATTTCAAAAAAATTTTCTTTAGAAAAATTTTGAGCCCCATGTTCGTGTATTGTCAGAGAATACCCGAGTCCCACAATTTTGGACGCTATGCTCACTTCAGTTTTCGAAAAAATTATCCCTAGTTAAAGTGAGCATGGAGTCAAAGATCTTGGACGTCATGAGCAACCGAACATTATACAGGGTGTCCCAAAAGTCCCTTCCACCCCCTCTAAAATTTTACCTAGTTAACATTTTGAAACGAAACTTTGGGGATGTACATCGATCAATGTTAGCTACTTTTGGAGCCCCCCCCAAAAAATTTTTCGAGCCCCCCCCGTGGGGAGGGGCTGCGAACCCCAACTTTTTTTTTCAAATAGCAACCCCTGTCTTATGATATCTCATTCGAAAGAGCATAAAAAACTAAGAATTTTGGCGCAAACCGCAAATCAATATCTTAATTTATGACCGAGTTATGATAGGCCAAAGGTCAAATTTGACCTATTTTCAAAAAATCATAACTCCGGTTCAAATTATCGTAATGAAAAAAATAAAACGGGAAAATTTACCAAATTGTAAGCACTTTTAAGTAAAAATCACAGAAATTACTTCAAACTAATTTTAAGGGGGGTTTCGGACCCCCAAATACGTCAATTCAAAGGTCATTCAATTTTCCGGAAAAATAAGCCAATTTCCCCCAGATTTGCGTCCGTATTATCTCTGTAAGGTCAAAATCAGTTCAACAAAATCAGTCCCCAAATTTCGGGAAAAGTTAAAAAAAAAATTAAACGGTCAAATTTGGTCACCTTAAATTTCGTTTTTTTTTTAACTTTTCCCGAAATTTGGGGACTTGCCAACGTAATGTTGAACTAATTTTGACCTTACTGAGATAATACGGAGGCAAATCTAGGGGAAATTGNGGGGGGGGGGGGGGAATTGGCTTATTTTTCCGGAAAATTGAATGATTTTTGAATTGACGTATTTGGGGGTACGAAACCCCCCTTAAAATTACTTTGAAGTAATTTCTGTGATTTTTACTTAAAAGTGCTTACAATTTGGTAAATTTTCCCGTTTTATTTTTTTTCATTACGATAATTTGAACCGGAGTTATGATTTTTTGAAAATAGGTCAAATTTGACCTTTGGCCTATCATAACTCGGTCTAAATTAAGATATTGATTTGCGGTTTGCGCCAAAATTCTTAGTTTTTTATGCTCTTTCGAATGAGATATCATAAGACAGGGGTTGCTATTTGAAAAAAAAAGTTGGGGTTCGCAGCCCCTCCCCACGGGGGGGCTCAAAAAATTTTTTTGGGGGGGCTCCAAAAGTAGCTAACATTGATCGATGTACATCCCCAAAGTTTCGTTTCAAAATGTTAACTAGGTAAAATTTTAGAGGGGGTGGAAGGGACTTTTGGGACACCCTGTATAGCTGAGCATGGAGTCCAATGTCATGGACGCAATGCTACATTACCATTGTACTCAAGATATTCATTTTCTGCTCGGACTGTTGCTAATTGTGTTGTTGATGTTTTGACTTCGAGAGACGGGGATACGAGCTAAGGAGGTGGCGCTGTCGGCGGGCGGGTGGTGAACCATCTCCACCGGGAGATTCGACCGCCAACTTTGACGTTTGGGATCGATTTCCCGGCATTATCCATTTTATTTTAAGACTATTTAAACATCGAATAGTGATTCTACCCATTGAAGTAGGTGTTTGATAGATTTTTACCGTGCTTAAGGAAATATTGTAATATATAATCGTATCTAAATTATGATGTCAATGAATCCAATAGATCCTAATGAATCGTAGAAAAGCTAAGATTTTTAAGGATCGCCGTCTTTACTAGATGGCATCGTTGATCAATTATATTTATTTGAAGATGCCTCATAATATCAACAGGTCGTTTCTGAATACATGAATTCATCACATATCGTGAAGAGATTTACGATAAAGTTTAGTGGTTTGATTAAAAATTTTAAAACTATTATCGTTCGATCAAAATTCCAACCGAACTTTACGATTTTGTGAAATCGGCAGTATTTTTCTAAATAAGCCAGTAAAAGCGTCTATGCCGGCCGAGAGCGGCGGCAAAAGCGAGAAAGTCTTGTGCGATCCTCGCACCATGATGGGGATATGCCGGCACGAAGCGCCGGCACGCGCCACTTGCGCCGAGCAAAAATTGGCTAGGGGCCAATTTTTTTTCAGTGTAAGCCTTCCATGAAGCAATATGTCCATACTATCGCTATATAAGTGCTCTGGATATTATTAAAAAGGATGCTCAGGAAAATTTAAGAATTAATGAATCGAAAGAAAATCGAAAATCTAACCACGTCAATGATGTGATGTAAGGAGACTCCAAATTCTACTTTCAATGACTGTGTAGAGTTTTTCGCTGGTCGAATGGATGAGTCATAATTTTCCATAAGTGTCCGCATAAGCGCGTATTCCACTCCGTCACAGATCACTGAAAAAATAAAGTGAATACAAGAGGACACCATTCATTAAAATGCAATCTTAAAAAGAAAAAACCATTACATTCAATGAAGTTGTTATTAGTCTAGAAATGGGATAGGTGAGGAATAACGCCTTTTCGCTCGTTGAATATACCCCAATGAGATAAAGTTACGATTGAATGAACCGGAATACCTATATGCTGATATATTTGGTGGACTCGAAACGGGAAGACAAAAAAAAAGATGAAACAAACGAATGTAGAGATGACGAACCAAGAGGGATTTATTCAGACGAAAATTGCTTAAAACGGTTCGACCGGTGTGGCGGGCAATTCAAACATAACACCAACTCCCTGGTCAAGTGAAAAAAAACAAGAAACAGATTTTTTTTTTTTTTTTTTTTTTTTTTTTTTTTGTGATGAGGGGAAAAATTCGCTACAGTGCCCCCATCATGAGGGTCGCCAAGACGCCCCTCATGAAAAGGGCCCACCGAATACCGGGACGGCAACGACCATCAGCTGGTGAAGAGCCGCCGAAGCGACCCCTAACCGACCCGACCGCTGTGAGATGGGAAGACCCGGTTATGTAGGGTTGAAGCACGCCGCTGTGTTCCGTACCCACTAAACGACCCCTCCAGGCCACACCCCGTGCAAGTGTGGCCCATCGGACGCTCTATCCTCCCGTCGGACGTCCCTAAGGCACTCTTCGAACGGCAGTCCCCGACCCCGGCCCCGGTTTAGCCGGCGCCCCTCAGGCCCCCCCCACTTAAGGGAGGGTCCCCCCATCCCCCGGGACCGATCTGCCGGAGCCATCATTGTACCCGGAGTCAAGGGCGTAGGAGGAGAGCCTAGGCCCAGCTTGCGCCAAACCCTGCGACAACCCCCCCGGCAGGGCTCTGGAGCCGAGAACTGGAGGGCAGGGAGGGCAGACCAGCTACGTCTCGCTCAGCCCTCGAGGCACCCGATCTTATGCGGCCCCAGAAGAGGGCAGCCTACGCATGACTCAGCTCCGCGGGTGCGTCGAACCCGATATCCCCAATTGGATAGCTTGCGGTAAACAGGGCCAGAGACCCGAGGGTTTCTGGCCGACTAGAGGCATCCGTTATCCATTATCCATCTCATTGTCCATCTTTACGTTTGCATGACATAACACGTGTCGCGAATCGCTCAAATGCTAGCCAATTTCCTTTGCTCTCCAGTAGCACACCCATTAGCTCTTCCGGGGGCGGGATGGGACCAATAACCCCCTCAAGTTCCCGCCTTTCCGCAGTCCATCTGTCACAGTTGTACATCGTGTGTTCCACCGAATCACGTTGGCTACATTGAGTGCATTGATCCGAATCTTTGATCTTAAAGCGATGTAGATAAGCCGCAAAAGAGCCATGGCCAGTCAGCAACTGAGTTGTCGCGAAGTTTACTTCTGCAAACTCACTTCTCATCCACAAATCAAGATCCGGGATCAGTTTTCGAGTCCATTCAGCTTTCCCCGTGTTTGAGTACCATCTATCTTTCCAGGCATCATACATCATTTCTTCAGCCATCTTCGGATCTTGCGTGTCAAATCTGGTCTTATGTTGGAGCAGAAGTAAATCCAAGGGAGGGATTTTCGCTAGCACGTCTAGCGCATCATCTGACACAGTTCTGTAGGCCCTTGTCACTTTGATCTTGATTGGTCTGAAGGTTTTCCTCACCCAGCCAGCATAAGTCTTCGTCCTGACAATGTCCGCCCAAACCGGAGCTGCATACGAGAGTATGGAAATGGCCACCGAAGCGATAATCTTCCTTTTCCTTGCAGACGGTCCTCCATTATTTGGCATGATCCTAGTCAGGTTTCCAGCAACCCTTTTCACTTTTTCGCATGTTCTTTTGAGATGTTCTCTGAAATGCAAGCCCGCCGACAGCCATACACCGAGGTATTTGCCATGTTCCTTAGCTTGGATTTCCAGTTGGTCCACTTTTATCATTACATTACGATCTGCCTTCTTCGCCTTAAGAATTAAGAATTCCGTTTTTTCTATCGCCGTTTCCAGCCTGAGCTCCCAGATCCTTCTTAAGGTGTAAGCCACTGCTCTCTGTAATTTCCAGATAAGTCCATACATCGTTTTTTCCCAGGCGCTGACCGCGACATCATCTGCAAACGCGGTCAACAAACTATTTTGCGGGAGGGCGCCCCCCACCACAAAATCATAGTAGACCAACCACAAGAACGGCGACAAACAGCTACCCTGGGGCACTCCACACGAGGTTTGGATTTCTTCTCCGTCTACTATGATATTACGCTCCGTGAAATAGTCTTGGAGGATTCTGAGCAAATATGTTGATACGCCTTTTTTCCTAAGTGCTTCAATTATTCCTTCCCACGGTGCGGTGTTAAATGCGTTCTTCACGTCAAGCATCACGATCCCAGATGGACGTCCCCTTTCCCATGCTCTGTTTGCGAAATCCACTACTTTCTTGATCGCCATTACTGTCGATTTCCCCTTCACAAAACCAAACTGGTTTTCTGAAATGAAAATCTCGGCTATGAGTCTGTGCAGAATTAGTTTCTCCAGGATTTTTCCCATAACATCTATTAAGCAGATTGGGCGGAAAGTTTTTTTGTTTCCTTTGACTCCTTTTGGTAGTAGGATTAAGTTAGCCTTCTTCCATATTTTCGGGAAAATCCCCGAAGTAAGGGCTTCGTTGAAAACTCCTAGTCCCGTTTCCACGTTAGTACCAAGAAACGCTTTGACCGCTTCCGGGGGGAGTCCGTCCGGTCCTGGAGCTTTTTTGTCTCTAGTGGTCCTCAGTGCTTCTTCTAACTCGCCTTTGGTGAAAGGTTGGATTTCATCCTCAACTTCAGGTTTTTCGAAGGACGGCAATGGTCTTTCCGGGAAGAGCTCTTTCACTACCTCAAGTTTTTCTTCAGTACTTAATTCGTCAGCTGGATTCCTTGGTCCCATCTTGCTATTCACGATTTTGTAACCTTTTCCCCAAGGGTTTTCTTCTAATTCATTTAGTATTTTGTTCCACGATTCCGTTTTTGCCTTGGAGATGGCTTCCTTAAGTTCCTTGTTCGTTTGTCCGTACTCCGTTCTCGTTCTTTCCAAGTCTGGGTCGTCTTTGCCGATCATTCTGGTCCATTTTCGTCTTAAGGTAACTGATTTCCTATGTAGTTTTCCAATGTCCTCATTCCACCAATACTCTTCTCTCTTTTCCGACGGCGTAATCTTCATCTTCTTCAGGATGTTATTACATTCTCTCGTTACATTCTCTTTGCTAGTGTAAGTGTTCTGTAACCTAAAAGTCTCCCGGAGAGCCTTCTTATCCTCTTCCCCTCTAATTTTCCATTTCCTGATTTGAAACGGTTTAATCGGGTTGGAATTTTCTCCCAGTGTGCACAAGATCGCTTGGTGGTCGCTCGCAGTGTTCATATCAGTAACCACTTCCCATCTCTTTACAGAGCTCGAAAGCTTTCCTGACGTGATCGTTAGGTCATCAATGGAGGTACCTCCCCCAGGGGCCAGAAAGGTGGGCGTAGATCCGGTATTTTGGATGATCAAGTTGTTTGTCTCGACCCACTCTTCCAAAATCAGTCCTCTGTTGTTGCATTCTTTATCTCCCCACGTCTCAGATCTGGCATTCAGATCTCCTGTGATCAGGAAACGTTCATTAGCCGTGGGGAACTCCCGGGCCAGTTCTTGGAGAACCCTGTTATATTCCTCGTCAGTTAGGCTCGGAGGGAAGTAACAACCAAAAATCGTTATTCTGCGAAAGTCCATTCTGACAAAGCCATTGAAGAATGAGCTCCTCATACATTGACCTAGTTTAGTGTCGCAGATTCTCATTGCCAGTCTTTTCTCTTTGTCTCGAGTCCACAGCTTGTTGTTCGTTTTAAATTCGTTTGCTTCTGATAGCACAAGTACCGAAATTCCTCTTTTCTTTGCTTCTCTGTTTACCAGGTCATGAGACAATTTACATCCGTTTTTATTATTTGCCGCCATTATCAGAATATCTTTGTTATGCACCTCCTTGCAGTTGTTGAGGTTGATTTGTAGTCCTCTGATGACTCTCGTTCTCGTTGTTGCAGTCACCTTGCCTGTTAATGTTCGTTTCCCAGGGACTCGCTCCACCGTCTCCCTCGTATCCGTTGAAGACGATGGCCCCCCCCCCTGGCCGAGCTCTCCCGATTTCCATGTCGGTCCGTGGGTGTCATTTCAAAACGAGGTTGCTTTCGGACCCACTTGTCGAGTAGCATTTGTCTGTCCATCATTGTTGTTGCTGTTTCCCGTTTTCGATCTCCATGTTCTGCACCTGGCAGTCACGCGCGATGTGCCCTTCTTTCTTGCATTTTCTGCAGCACTTGCTGTAGTCGACCGCGCTTTTACACTGATACTGGATATGCCCCGCTTCGTGGCACCTGTAGCAGACGTTTGACTCTTGGTACTCCCTCACGGGACATGTCGCGAAGCAGATTCTGACGGATCCACTATTGAGGACCTCTCTGCTTTTGGCGTTGTCCTTCACCCCGATAAACGCAATCCCGGCTGCGTTCGCTGGTATCCGGACGTTGACCACATCGAGCCCGGCAACCTTCAACTCCTCCGTAAGGTCATCTTCCGTGAGGCTGTTATCCAGCCGCCGCACCACCAGCCTTAAAATGGGCTCCCTGGCTACCGCTTTTGAAGGGGCTTTCCTTTCTATCGCCTTCTGAAGTCGCTCAGCTCCGATGGCGGTTTCTACCTCAATCTTCATTCTTCCGTCCCTCGTCATCCCTGCGTCCACGATGAGGTGTGCAAGGTCGCCTACCGTCTCCCGGACGAAACGGTTCATCTCCCCGGCCGATCTGCCATCCGTTTGGATAAAGACGACGGGTCGTTTCGGTTTATTCGCCGGTTTTCTTGCTTTGCCTCCACCTGGGGCTCCCAATGCCGGAAAGTCACCGTCAGTGAAGGCCACAGTATGTATCATCTGATGTGCTGCCTGCGCGGAAGGTTGCTCCCATCTTCTGCGAGATTGCTGCGATTGTTGCT